AAGGAAGGAAGGAAGGAAGGAAGGAAGGAAGAGAGAGAGAGAGAGAGAGAGAGAAGAGGGGAGAGAGAAGAGAGAGAGAGAGAGAGAGAAAGGAAGGAAGGAAGGAAGGAAGGAAGGAAGGAAGGAAGGAAGGAAGGAAGGAAGGAAGGAAGGGAGAGAGAGAGAGAGAGAGAGAGAGAGAGAGAGAGAGAGAGAGAGAGAGAAAGAAAGAAAGAAAGAAAGAAAGAAAGAAAGAAAGAAAGAAAGAAAGAAAGAAAGAGAGAGAGAGAAAGAAGTTTAAGGAAACGTGTGTTTTAGGACAGCAGCACCAGGAACTGGAGCTGGGAGCTGGAAAGCTGGCAGGAACCAGGCAGGCTGACTCTCGGCCTCTCCTCTCTGCTGGCTCTCTTGCTAACACAGCTTTCCCTGCTTCCTGGGAACTGCACTCGCGCCCTGGCAATGCATATTCCACTAAACTACTTAGAATGGGGATGGTGGGGACAAGGAGTGGGTCACCTTCAGCGGATGGAGTGAGAGTGGGGAAGGCCAGCACAGAGCCACCTCCTCAGTCTGGGCTGAGGGAGGAGAGAATATGGCAGGCCCTAAGAAGGAAAAGACAGTCCAGGGGTGGAAAATATTCCCCAAAGACCCTCTTGGAGAGGCTAGAATCTGGGTCCCCCAATATCCTGGACAAAACCTGAGTCAGTGCAGTACTGCTGCCAACATCACTGTGACACACTGGTGCCCCAACCCCTGGCAGGGACCATACCCTGCAGGTGCAGCCCCAGCTGAGCAGGAGGCCAGACAGCCCCTGATCACCAAGCCTCTCTCTCCATCATGAGCTGTGCCCGGGCCCTTGGGGGAGCCTGGCAAAGGGCGTTTGTGTCTGGGCTCTACGCCTAAGGGACTGGGGGTGTCACAGCTCCTGCCGTCGAGCACTTACTGCACCAGGAGCCTGACAGGCACCATCTCACCGACGCTTCACAGGGCAGCCACGTGAGCACCCCTATTTTACAGATGAGGAAACTGAGGCACCGAGTAACCAGGTGGCTTGCCCAGGTTGCAGAGCTGGTCGTCGGTACAACCCAGGTTTAACCCAGACCTGTGATTCTAATGTCTCATCTCTGAGGCAGGAGCTCTGACTTAGTCTGGGGTGGGCAAGTGGAGGCTGTAGGGGAAGGGGAGGGTTATTTGAGCGAGATCCAAAGGTAAGCAAGGGCCAAGAGGGTGGGGAACCCCATGTGCACAGGCAAAGGGTGGAGGAAGGAAGAAAAGACCCTTGTGGCTGAGTTCAGGGAGCCAGGTGGGAGCAGGGGACAGTGGCAGGAGGAGGCAGCAGAGGTGGGCATGATGCTGGAGCCCCTGAGGCCCCTGGAATTCATGGTGGGTGGTTGCAACCACAGACTCCTGCGTTAAGCAGAAAGGTTTTAACCCCTTCTGGCCGAGGGGTCCCTGGGCCTGGTGGATGAGGTCTGCCTGGAGGGCTCTGGGAATGATGGGCTGGGCCATCCAAGTAGAGTAGGAACAACCAGGTGGCTGGAGCAATCCACAAGGGGAATGGGCTGGGGGTGCCTGAGCAGAGGGAGGGAGGGCCTGGGGAGCCAGCTATGGGGGTACCATGTAGGGACCCATGTCTGGGGGTGAGGGGCTGCCTCTATTAGAGGCCCAATTCAGATGGGTCCGTGAGGAGTCAATTCAGTGACCTGGGCCCTCTGGGAGTTAGAATGGGGGTGGGGCTGCCTCAAAGCCACCATTGTCACCCCCTCTCCCGCCTGACTGTCTGGGACCTAAAATAGAGCAGGAGCAGGGGATCTCGTGAGAAGGGTTTCTGGCAAAGAGATCTGGGAGGAAGGGTGTGAGTCACCACTGGGAACCCTCAAGTTTGAAGCTCCCAAAGCCCAGCTGCCCCACCCCCATCCCCAGGGAGTCTGGAATCCAGTGGATGTGGAGCCCGTGGAGCCGAGGGTGTCTCAGCCCCACCCTGTCCTGCGGGAAGGGAGCTGGCCCCAGCTCTGCCATGGAGGTGCTGGATGACTGGACCAAATCTTGCCTCTCAGGACCTCAGCTTCTCAGATGTACCAGCAGTCAGGGACCTGGCTGTGAGGGCCTGGAATTCATGGCAGGCGGTCCCAATAGAGGCCCCCAGAGGCAGGCAGACATGGGAAAGTCTCAGTTCCTTTCCTGTGGGCTGAGTGACCTTTGAATGTCCCCCTCATCTTGGGGCCTCAGTTTCCTGATCTGTAAAATGGACATGGAAACCAAGTCCTGTTCTTTCCCAGCTTCAACTTGAACTATTCAACAAGCATCATGACAGCTCCCGGGCCTCTCCCCACCACCTCCACTTCCTCCCACGGTACACTTTGCGCTGCTAGGAATGTTCACCACAGTGTCCCCATCTTCTAGCGCCCCGTGCTTTACACACACCACCTCTGGCTCCCCACATCCGGGAGGGCAAAGATGGGCATCATCTCCAGCTTCTCCATGGAAGCTCTTCACCTCAGTCCTGGCCACTCCTAGGAGCATCCCTACCTGAGGGGCAGGGTTGGTCCTCCCCATTGTGCAGATGGGAAACAGGCTCCTCTCCAAGGGGTCTGGGTCCTTCGCAAACGGATCGGCACTGTGCACGGGTTCAGAGCAGCAGGAGAGGCAGGCGCAGTGTGTGGGGCTGGCCTGCCCTCTGGCGGCCACGGTGCCAGCCACAGGCCCACCTCCAGGGAGCGGAGAACGGTCTCTCCCAGTCCATCTCACGACTTCCCAGAGACCCCACAGCAGCTGCGCGCTCCCCCCCCCCGGGTTGCCATGGAGACCACTTGTACACAGTTTCTTCTTCCCCCTTCCTCCTTCTCCTTCCCCTTCCCCTTCCCCTTCCCCTTCCCCTTCCCCCTGTCCCAAGTCCGCCCGCAGCCCACCAGCGGGTCGGAGGGAGCCCGAGGGAGCTGGCCGCGGGCCCATGAACAGTACGGCCCCAGGGAGGCTGGTCATAGGGAGAGTGAAATTCTTCCGCCGGCACCACGGAGAGGTGAGGCCAGTGGGCCCTGCCCAGACTCTAGGCTCCTGATTTCCCATAGCGGAGCTCCAACTCCAGAATGGGCTCTAGGTTCTAAGCTCTGGTGCCAGAGAGGCCTCAGACCCCTGTTCTTTGGGCTCTGGCTTCAAAGTGAACTCCTGGTTCTGGACTCCAGCTCTAGAATGGACTCCTGGCTCAGAATCTGGTTCTAGAGAAGGCGCCAGCAGCTGGCGTCCGTCAGATTCAGCTTCGGGCACAGGTTCCCTTTACGGGGCTTCAGAGAGAGCGCCAGGCTCTTGGCTCTGGCTGCAGAATGGTTCCTGGGTCTGGGCTCTGGCTGCAGAGTGAGGCCTGAAGCCGCGGCTCCAACCCCAGGCTCCTGGGGGGGTGTTTAGGGATGGCCCAGGGCTCTGGCGTCAAGAAGGAACAGCAGGTGTTTCTTGCCCTGTGATGGGACCACTTTTGTGCTCTGTTCCAGGTCAACTTCTCCGCCTTCTCCCCGGACGGCCAGACGCTGCTCACAGCCTCTGAAGACGGCTGTGTGTATGGCTGGGAAACCCGGAGTGGGAATCTGCTGTGGAAGTTGGGTGGCCACACAGGTGGGCTCCTCGACCTGGATCGGGAGGCTAAGGCCGCAATGACCTCCAATGTCTGAGCTGGGCACCCACGCAGGACAGCCGAGGCGGGGCTGAGGCACGAGGGCAAGGAGACGGACATGTTCCCTGGGCCCTCTGACTCTGGCGGACCTGAACTCAGATCTTTTTTTTTTTTTTTAAGTGTGTTTTAATTTGATTTCAGAGAGAAGGGAGAAGGGGAGAGATAGAAACATCAATGGTGAGACTCATTGGCTGCCTCCTGCACTGGGGATCATGCAGGCATCCCAGGCATGTGCCCCAAGGGGCAATCTAACCGTGACCTCTAGGTTCAGGAGTCAATGCTCAACACTGAGCCCCACCAGCAGGATTCAGATCCTACTTTTTAAAATGTTTACAAATATACATATTTACTGTTTTAACCATTTTTAAGTGTAGTGTTACCTACGTTCATATGGTTGTGCAACTAGTCTCCAGAACTCATCTTGCAAAAGTGAAAATATACCCATTAAACATCTCATTCCTTCCTTCCCCCAGACCCTGTCAACCATCATTCTGCTTTTTGCCTCCAAGAATTGGACTACGCTGAGTGCCTTATATAAGGGGAACCATACAGTATTCCTCTTTGTGACTGGCTTACCTCTCAGCATAATGTCCTTAAGGTTCATCTGTTTTACCTCCTATTTTGACTGATTATGTAATGTCACCTCTGAGCCTCTATTTCCTCCTCTGTAGAATGGGATAATGGTTGCTACCCTATAGGATAAAATAATGCAAGGAAAGTACCTAGGACCCAGAGTAAGTACTCAGTAGATATAATTTACAATTAAGGAGACAAAGAAATAGCTCTGGTTCATTATAGGGCAGACTGATTAATGCTATAATAGGAAAATCTGGGGGCTGGGGAGCTCAAAGGAGGCAGTGAACCTATGCTGGGCTGTCAAGGAGTTTCTGGGAGATGCCTGCATTTGATTGGTACTGATGGTGTGGGGTTGGGTGTTCCAGGAATTCCAGGTGTATGGTGTAGGCTAGAAGGGAGTGAGGACAAGAGAGGTAGGCGATGAGACTGGAGAAATTAGTGGGTGTCAGAGTGGAGGGCCAGAGGTGGTGGTGGCGGGGGTAGTGCCGTTCTCTGACCACGGCCACCCGCCCCAGGCCCTGTGAAGTTCTGCCGCTTCTCCCCCGATGGCCGCCTCTTTGCCAGCACCTCCTATGACTGCACCATCCGCCTGTGGGACGCAGCAAAAGCCAAGTGTCTGCAGATCTTAAAGGGTGAGTGGGCTGGCTGGGACTGCGAGCCAAGCAGCCAGGCCTGGGTTCCCTTCCGGACCTTGCTGTGTCCTGTGCCACCTTGTAGGTCACCAGCGGAGTGTGGAAACAGTCAGCTTCAGTCCAGACTCCAAGCAGCTGGCATCGGGTGGCTGGGACAAGCGGGTGATGCTCTGGGAGGTGCAGGTATATGGAGGGGGTGGCCAGAGAGCCTGGGACTGGATGACACACACACCCTCCACACTGGTTCCAGAAAGGTCATTCCCAGTCTTCTCCACTGCTCGTGCCCACACCAAGACCCCCTAGCATCTGGCTACAGCTACCTCTCCCCCACCCCCTGTGCCCAGGAGGTTCCCCCTCCTGGATTGCCCTCTCCTCAGGCTGGGAAAGTCTCCCAGACTCTGATATGCCACATCACCCAGGCAGCCCCGAAAGAAGGGCCTGGGTCTGACCCACCTGAGGCCTAGAACCTGGCACTGTGAGGCTTCTGGGCTGCCCTCTGATGCTCAGGGCTCTCACCTTCAGTCTGGCCAGGTGCTGCGCCACTTAGCAGGGCACTAAGACTCCATCCAGAGCAGTGACTTCGCACCCAGCTCAGACTATCTGGTGAGCCACACCACCTCTGCCCATGCCCCACACTATGACAGTACCAGCACCCACTTTCCCACTTGGGACTGAGCAGTGGTTAGAATTCTAGACCTTGACTAAATGACTTGGCTCTTCTGAGCCTGAGCCCTCATCTGTAAGATGGGGATTCAGCAGGGCTTGGTGCCTGCTTTCTGAGTCTGACCAGCCTAGAAACTGGGAGGGTGGACATGGGTCCATTCTGGCCCATCCTTATGGCAGCTGTCTGCAGGCCACTGGTTCCTGGGACTCTACCATTCGCATCTGGGACCTTCGGACAGGGACCCCAGCGATCTTCCACCAGGAGCTGGAGGGTCACAGTGGCAATGTCAGCTGCCTGTGCTACTCAACATCTGGCCTGCTGGTGAGCTGGGCTGCCTGGGTTCTAGGCTGGTCCCTTGCTGGCAGCAAGACCCTTGGAGGGTCATGGGCCATTTGGGGGCAGTGAACATGCAGGCCTCCAACAGCTATCCGCTGTCTAGGCATCCGGCTCCTGGGACAAGACCATCCACATCTGGAAGCCCTCGACTAGAAGCCTGCTTATCCAGCTCAAGGGTCACGCCACCTGGGTGAAGAGCATAGCTTTCTCCCCAGATGGGTTGCAGCTGGCCAGCGCGGGCTACTCCCCAATGGTAACCCTACCCCACCAGGCTCCTCCTCCTGGCAAACTCCTACCCTCACATTGGGCCTACTAGAGTCCTCAGCCCTGTCCAGGAAGGACCACGTCCCTGTGCCCTGAACAGGAAGGTGCCAGCCACTAAAGTCTGTGCTAGCCCAAACGTAACACTTGTAGGATTTAAATAACTTCAGGGGGAAGGAAATTGCACTGCACTGCATTTTTGCATCAGATATTATGGCAGGCATCTTAAAAATACCTCAAAAACAAAACCCAGTCCAAAGATGATGTTGGCTAGGACTCACCCCCAAGGTGATTTAAAAGTTGCTTGTGTCGTGAGGCCTCCCTTTCTGTTTGTTTTTATTTCCAGATCAAAGTCTGGGACTGCAACACAGGAATGTGCATTGAAACCCTGAAGGTAAGGCCTGTGGCTGTAGCATCCAAAGGAGCAGTGGAAGGTGTACTAGGAAGCTGGGCTCAGGCAGGACTTGCATCCTCAGAGCCCAACACTGTTCTTGGCAGGGAGCCCTGGATGTGGCCTACGCTTGCACCTTCACCCCAGATGGGAAACTCTTATTGGTGTCTGGAGCTGTTGATTAGGCAAGTTGCCAAGTCCCCCGCACATGATCAACCACCCAGAGCCTCTAGTGTAACATCGCCACACAAGGCTCTCAAACCTCACGCCCCTGCCTCTCCCTGCCCAGGGCGCTTGGGGCCTGGAGAAAGCACAGTCAGGGCCATTCCATGCCACAGGCCCAAAGTAACCATAACCGAGCACCCAGCAGATCCTTGTCATGGCCCCACAACAGCCCATCTCTCCAGCATGGTTAGTTAAAACAACTGCAAACACAAAGCAAGTCAGCCAGTTTGTGCTTTATTGACGCCACGATGCTCAGGCCTTGACCGCGTACTTCCGTAGGGGGTATAGCCGCTCCTTCCGCTGCTGCTTCTTGGTCTTCAGGTTCTCTTCATGCTTGTTGAGCCGGCGGCGCATGGCGCGTGTTTTCTTGGGCCGCAGATCCAGGGGCTTGTACTTCTTGCCCTGGGTGATGGGAGAGCAGGGGGAATCTGAGGACCAGGGCTTAGGAGCTACTGCAATAGCTAAGCAAGCCCCAGAGATTGGAACTAGGTGTTGAGATGGTGCTGGGAAGACCTGAGAGGTAACTGAGGAAGGTACATGGCTGGGCTGGGGAGGTTCATTTGTAGACATGAGTGTGGGGAGCTGAATGACATCCAGCCCAGTAGGGGACTGTCACCATGGGACCGGGGCAGGCCACACTTCTTGCTTACTAGTTCATACAATGCCCCCAAATTCAAGGTTGGGGGGGGGGGGGGGGAAAATCCCCATTAAAAAAAAGAGTATTTTGAGTTACAGAGTCAAAAAGCAAGTGAACTTGTCAGAATCTCATGAAAACTGGCAGAACTGGGATTTGCACCTAAGTCAACCAACTCCCTACACGGTGTTCTTCCCTCCAGCTGAATTCCTGCCATGGAGTCAACATCACATCCAAGTAAGGGGCATGTGGCACCCAGCAAGTACAGGGGTGGTGACTGTTTTCTTGGTTTAAGTTATGCAAGCTGATGCATATGGTGATAGGGGTGGGGGAGGGGTTGCACCCTAAGCTGGTACTGGGTGAATCTGGAGTGTCTGCCAGGTACCCATGGGTGTCCCCTGTAATTATGTTCCCATTTTTACAAGTCCCAGAGGGAAGCTCTGGCTTGGCCAAGGGAAGCCCCCTTTCCTGCCTTAGGTGGCCTCCCACCAAACCTGCTCCCAGACCTGTAACAGGGCCATAGTGTCTCCATCCCTGGCTCACTTCTTGAGGCCCTGTGCTGGGTGCTGGCTTGGCCAGAAATCAGGCCTGGTCCCACCTCAAGGAGCTCCCAGCTCAGTGGGGGAAGACGGAACAGATAACAAGTGGCCCATCAGTGGGGGAGAAAACTGCACAAAACCCCTTAAGATTGACAGCTCAGGCTCTTTCTAGGAACCACCAACAGCCCGGAGGAGCTGGGCACAGGGCAGAGAACTGCAGAAAAGGCCAAATAGGAGATGAGGACAAGTGCTGGAAGTATTCAAGTCTTTGTCCACCCACATCCCTCACACCAGGGCACAAGTCAGAACCTTGTGCATTTCAAATGTACTAAGCCCCTTAGAGCTCTGCTACCCAATAGAATAGCCACTAGCCCATACTGTTTACATTAAGCCAGTCCTTAGACACCATAGTCACATTAAGTGATCAACAGGCACATGTGGTTGGAGGTGACTGATGACAGAGCAGATACAGAACACGTCTGTCGCCACAGAAGGTCCACTGACACACAGATGGAAACTTCACCCCCACCTCCCTGAGTGGTGCCTGGCATGGGTGCACTCAATGGATAGTTACGGAAGACAATTCCTCCAGGTCACCCCCTCTGCCTGGTCCCCTCAGAGCCTGATGAAAGCTTCAGACCCAATCCTCAGAGAAACGTTCCCGCACAGATGTGCATACATCCAGGGGTGGCAGCACCCCACCCCCATCCCCACAGTTGTGTCCCTGGGAGGCTATCCCAGGCACACCGTGATGGCCTTTTTGGTATCAAACCTTCGTTATTCAAACACTAAATTGGGAGTTGATGTAAAGATGTAATTAAAGCCACTAATCAATCCGCTGATTTAAATTAAGAGAGAATATCCTGGGTAATCTAGGTGGGCCTGATAAAAACCAGCTGGAAGTCCTTCAAGGAAGGGCTGAGGCTCTCCCCAAGAAATGCCAGCAGCTTCAACCTGTGTCCTGAGTCCCAGCCTGCCCACAATCTTAAGCCCGCCCTCACAACCACATAGGCCAATTCCTTGCAACAAAATATACATATTCACGCACACACAAAGTATCCCACTGGTTTGCCTTCACTGCTTGAACCCTGGTAAGACTCATCTGAGGACAGGACTAGGAAATGGTTGTCAATATCCTAGGCTGAGGGATCAGACACCTGTGGAAATCTCCCAGGAGCACCCCATTCACTCCTCCCCAAGGCATGGTTTTGAACCTCAGCCCAATCACTCCATTATTTGTAGGCGACTCTGAACAACTTAACCTCTTTAAGCCTTGAGGTCCTCATCCGAAAAACAAGAATGTCAGGTGCTTGGCAGTGACTGACACACAGTACTATAAGACAAGACATTTAGCAGTCAATCCTCAGACGGCCCAAACTCATTCAGCTGGTGAGGCTGCACCGAAAACCCAGGAGTCCTACCACGCAGTTGATTTCTTGACAATTGCAGCCGGAGGAAATGCAGTCTGCATACCACATGCTAGAGCAAGATGCTGGAAAGGCAAACCCATTTTCAAGCTGGACGGGTCTGGAAAGCCCAAGGATGTCTGGGCAAAGCTCTGTCCCACATACACCAGCAGGAGAACCTCTTCATCCTGACCGCCCTCAGCAAGGGAGGGCTGGAACTTTGCTCCCTAGAGCCAGGCAGCCCCACACATACCCCCACTCACCTTGTAGAATTTCCTGAGGTTCTCTTTCTGAGTCTGGTTAATGACGGTAAGAACACGGGCGATAGACTTGCGAACAACTCGGCTACAAAAAGAGACATCAGTGAACACATAGCATCTCATTCAGGGCCTGACCCAGATCTCATCCATATCCACCCAAGATGCACTTAACCCAGCCCAGGAGCAAGGTATTCTGGGGGTAAGGTCGGAGGACTATAGTATATGGGAATCTCAGGAGTGAATAGGGAAGGCCTGGAGCGTCCAGTGCTTTGGAGGATCTGTGACGTGTCCACTGAGGAGGCTGAATGAGGAGCAATGGAGGACTGATGGGGGGCCAGGCCATACATCCTGAAGGCTATGAAGCCAACCTAGCCAATGCCCATCTTAATGAGCTGACCAGAAAGAATCATATCACAAGCTGGGCAACCAGGGAAGCTTAAAGAGTCACAGCAGGAGCCACTGGGAGGGAGAAATGCTACTGAGCAGAGAACAGCTGGGGGCAGGTGAATCTGTAGTCATGTGGGGGGTGAGGGGAGGCTCACTCAGTTGACAGCTTGGTAAACCTGCTCTTGAGGATTCGGCACGACACTTGCTTACATGTTCCCAAACTCACCCAATATCCTCCCCCACCACATGAAGGCTGTTGGGGAGATTTCACAGAAGAAAAAAAATCCCGGGTGGTTAGCTAACCTGCCCACCAGGTAGGATGTGGCAGAAGTGGAATTTGTGCCCAGGTTGACTGACTCCAAACCCACATTCCTTACACAATTCTTGATCCATGGAAATCACTATTTTACACTACAACTCAAGTAAGGTGCAAGGCACCCACCTACCAACTGGAGGGAGGGAGGGGGAACCAAGTGCTGGTGGAAGATTAAAGAAAACGTCCAGTTGGGTTTTCTGAAGCATTAAAATGTCCCCGAAGAGGGACACCCTGTTCTTTCACCAGCCAGAGAAGCTGAACAAGGGCTCTCCGGGCAACAGGACCACACGGTCCAAGGCAGGTGAAGAGGAGCGGGTCCCCACGCGGAGGGCCTGACACTCCAACCCACAGATCCACCGAACGGGCACTTCCGCGGACACCGCCCTGAGCCAACCTCAAAGATCCACAAACGCCCCCGATGCACACAGACTCCCCCCGCCGCCCTGAGGCCCGCGGTCCGGCCGCCGGTCACTTACATCTTAGAAAGCTTGGAAGCTGCGCCGCCTGTCACTTTGGCTACGCGCAGCTGGGACAGCTCCACCTTCAAGTCGTCCAGCTGTTTGAGCAGCTCCTCCTTCTTCTTGCCGCGAAGGTCCCGAGCCTTAATTTTGGCCTGCGTGCAAGGAAGGGTCTGGGTCAAATGCGGGGTGCCTCCGTCTCCCCCTCCGCCGCTCACCGAGGCTTCCGCCGG